CCTGGTACCTATTAAATGTTGGCCCCAGGTCAAAAATTACTGTCCAATTGTAAATATAAATTAGGATAGCCCAATAAAACAAATGGGATTTAGAGGCAAACTCTCACTAACTTTTAAGACTCTTGGCAGATTTATCAACCACTGGAAAGGTCACTACATATATTTGTGGCAAGTAGACTTAATTATCCTTTGTTGTTTCTCATAAGACAGTTTGCAACTATTTATTCTTTCTCTTCTGTGGGAGGAGGGAGAAGGGTGGCCAGAAAGTGTTTAGAAACATTTGAATATATCAAAACTAGTGAGTCCCTGTAGGTTGATACAGTATGGATAAAATGATTCTAGAGAGACTAATTTCATCATTGCTTTAAAGCTACCTGGCATTGAGAGAGCTGGTATAAAGGCCAACAGAGAATAACTCTGTGTTACAGAACACCCCTTGTATAAAGGGCCTTTATATCAGGTACTGAACCACCTCCATCAGCTCTGCAATATGTCTGTAGCAGGCAGAGTGGGGACAGGAAGGGGGTGGCTCAGAAGCAAGATGAGGCATAGTTTCATGGTTAGTAGGGTTGGAAGGGACCTGAGCAGATCATCAAGTCCGACCCCCTGCCATGGCAGGAAAGAGTACTGGGATCAAACAACCCCAGCAAGGTGATTGTCTAGCCTTGTCTTAAAGATGCCCAGGGTAGGAGCCAGCACTTTGCTTGAAAGTTGGTTCCAGATCCTAGCCGCCCTGACAGTGAAGTAGCGCTGCCTGATGTCTAGTTTGAATCTACCTTCTGCCAGCTTGTGACCATTATTCCTTGTCACTCCTGGCAGTGCTTGTGGAAACAGGGATTCCCTCAATGCCTGCTGGTCCCCTCTGACTAGTTTGTAACAGGCCACTAGATCCCCCTGCAGCCTTCTCTTGTGGAGGCTCAACAGGTTCAGGTCCCGTAGCCTCTCCTTGTAGGGCCTGCCCTGCTGCCCCCTGATCATGCAAGTGGCCCTCCTCTGGACCCTCTCCATGTTGTCCACATCCCTCTTGAAGTGCGGTGCCCAGAACTGGACACAGTACTCCAGCTGCGGCCTGACCAGTGCTGCATAGAGGGGGAGTATCACCTCCTTGGACCTGCTTGAGATGCATCTGTGGATGCATGACAAGGTGTGGTTGGCCTTCCTGACTGCATCACCACACTGCCGACCCATGTTCATCTTGGCATCAATGATGACTCCAAGATCCTTTTCTGCCTCTGCACTGACGAGAAGGGAGGTCCCCAGCCTGTAGGTATGCTGCTGGTTCTTCCTCCCCAGGTGGGAATGGCTGAGACATTGTGATATCCTGGATAAGTTAAGCAGCCTGCCTCCTCTCTGTCCAACTCCTGTTCTCTTGTAGGGAAGCCAGAGTCCCACGCTATATGCTCCACGCTGCTCCTGATTAAATGTTTTGCATATGACCTGATGATGGACATCTAACCATGATCAGAACAATTGAGATTTTGAGTGTCGCTCATAGCTTTCATCTCATGAAAGCCCTTCCCACATTTTTGGACCTATAGGCAGTAGTAATTCAGCCAAGGAACCCATGATAGATCCATCTTTATAACGTCTTTTGCATTTTCCCCCTTAATTTGAAATAAACGTTTTCAGTCTAAAATGACTTGATTTATCTCTGTGTCTATCCATTTACAAAGATTGGCCAAGTCAAAAAGGGCAGTCAGGATGGCATTTTCAAAAACAATGAATGCTTGGAGGATAGAGCTGACTCAAACTACTTTTTTGACTGCATCAAAATGTTCATGGGGAAACATCTACTTTCCTCAAAAGAATGTGATTGCTCCTTTTGTTGGAAAACAGAAAAAAAAATTCTGCAGCTTTTGTTTTAAATATTTCGGCTTTTGGTTGTAGAAAATTAATTTTTTTTGGGGGGGGGAAGTGAGTTAACTATTTGTGACCAAAAAGTCAAAATTTGCCAGTTCATTTCTATTAAAATATGTAGGGAAAAAAATGGAGTTCTGTTTTTTGACTACTCTGCTTGTAACCTGAAATGGGATTTGTATTCCACAATCACTTAGGTATTTTTATAATTTAAATTTCAAGTTTTAACTGCTTTTTGTGCTTTTGAATAGTCCCACCCCCCATAAAATATATCTTTTATAATTTTGTAGATGAAGACCATTTCAGTAGAAATGGACAATAACTTCAAAATAATGCAGTTAGATTCTTCAGTCACTATGCTGAAACCTTTCTAAACTCCCATGTCTTCTTTACCTGATGAAGGCTTTCAGATGGACCATGGGAACAGCTCCCAGAACTAGTTACAAGTTACTGTTAAATTCCTTAATTCAAGGCAATGAAACCCAGTAGTGAGGGGAACCTGATAGTAATGTCTGCACTGCAAAATGGTCAACTAACAATGTGACTCCTATTGTAGGGTGCTTTGAGCACAGACTGAAACCCAGGAAAGATGTTTCATTTTGGTTGGGAACTGGGGCACATCTGTGCTGGAACATACCTTTTCCATTCAAGTTTGCAGAGTTCAAAACTAAATCACGTTGAAGGCAAATCTATCTATGAAGACCATGCACAGTTTCATTATGAAGAAAGTTCCTCTTCAAACATCTTTCTCATGACATTTCCACACAGCCACAGACAACATGTAAATCATGGCAATAATATGATTTCTTAGTTTGATACTTTCATTAGGAAATGTTGAAATAAGTGACTTTTGGAAATCATGATGTAGAAACAGAACTGTTCTTAGTAGATGCACTGTAGCCTTACAATATTTCATTGTTGAAAATAACACAAAAACAATAATGAAATACAATGCATTCAGACTTGGAGAGCTCTTCTGAATGCTGCTGTCCTGATATTACACCATTATACAGCTGTTGTTATTTTTATAAGGTTATTAAGGATACTATGCTCAACCACAAACGAATTAAAACATTTAGTATATAATGTGACATCTGCTTTCAGCATATCTTCCTAGATATCACTCTAGTTAAGGTTCTTTTATCGGCTTAATTCATGTTTATGGGTTTGTTTTTGTTTTTTAAAGCTTTTTCTTTACCAGAAATATGAGAGTAACATGAACATTGATCATGGTATTTCAAGGTAAACTTGTGAATTTTGTTGTACATGGCACACACTTTACATTTTCATATTTACCTTTAACCCACACGATAAAGCTCAGCAGTACAATACATATGCACCTGCACACACACAGTCCCTGCCTCATAAATCTTACGATCAAACTGATTATTTCAGAGAAAACAGGACATGATTAGGCACATGGTGGAGGGCAGTGGAGAGAGCTCACTCAGTAGTTTCTCTCTCCTATTAGCCAGGCTATTTCTTGCTGAACATAGTTTGCTGCCTGAACTTCCTTTGTGTTTGTGGCAGAACTGTACATACTGCTTCTACAAATGACCTTCTGGATAATCCCATTTGCTGCCCTCTGAAACACCATTTGGCGTATGGTCACTTAAAAAACTAGGCCTCTGCACAGTAGCTAGTATTCGCTTTGGATTCAGATTTGGCTGATTCAGGGGACAGTGATTTGATTTGGTGACTTGAATCACTGTCCCAATTTGATTCAGGTGAATCAGCCAAGCTAGGCCCATCCCCTGCCCCTCTTGCAGCCTGGTAATGGCTGCCCCAGCTCCTGGTATTTGTTTGAAAAAAAGAAAGCGCCAGTGCTGCTGCTGGGCGGGTGGCAATCCCTGCTGCCTTCAGCTGCCCCACACTGTGTGTGAGGCTCTGCAGGAGCTCCCTGACCCCCCCGTAGCGAAAATAGATACTTTTCTCTATGTTTCTTTGTTCCTTGTTTCAGTATTAACCCCTGCATTCTGTAATTTTCCACCCACATGGTACAGGATAGCCCACTACGCATGTCTTATAGGTTGCTCAGGTTTTGTTTTGAAATGACCAATCAAAATGTAACACGTCAACTGAAAAAATGCTAGCTCAATAAAAGCCACGTGCTCTCTCTGTTTAGGGTCGGCACTGATCTGAGCAACAAGCTCCTCTGTCGGCCTGCTTGCAAGCAATAAAATAGGGTTGGACCCAGCCTGAAAGTGTGACTCTCTTCTAGAGGTGAATTGGACTAGCCTCCAGGGGATAAAATCAGCAATTTATGCAACACCCCCCCTCTCGCTCCCCTAGTACTCCCATGGTTGCCCTACCCGGGCCAGCTCCGGCCCTTTACGGGGAAAAAAACAAAACAAAAAAAGCCCGGGACTTGCCGCTCTTGCCAGTGGGGGGTGATCCCCACTGCCCTGAACCATGTTGGGGGCTCTGCATGAGCCCCTAAAGCCCCGAAGCTGCTGCAGGAGTGGTGAGTCCTCGGGATTTTCTCCATTTTTTTTTCTTTCCATAAAGGGCCAGAGCTGGCCTTGGCAGGGCACCTGTGGGGGAGTGGCGGGGGGGGAGGGGGCTCATGCAGAGCGCCCCATGCAGTGTGGGGCAGGGGAGGACAGCAGGGATCACCCCCCTGCCTGGCAGCACCTGGTGAGCACTGGGGCTTTTTTTTTAAAGTACTGGGAGCTGGGGTGGGGGGGCTGTGGCAGCGGGGGGAGCTGGTGGGGCTGGCAGGGGTCCCCTCCTCCACCCCTAGTACTTACCAGTTCAGAGTCAGCTGCAGCTCCCTGCTGAAGCCACCGGGCACAGCCCAAATCTATTCGGACCTTTAAAATTGGTCCCCTGGTTCAATTTGGATTCAGAGATTTGGCTACTGAATCGGGCCGAATCTCCTCTGAATCGAATCAGCACCCAAAGCTTCACACAGCCCTAAAAAACCCTGCTTCTGAACTGCTATAGCTAGCACTAAAACAAACTTTGAAACAACAGCAACAAGTAGTTTCTTTCTCCTTGTGTCTCAAGCACTATTAGCACAGGCTCCTTTTAACTGAAAAAGGGGCATATTAAAAAATCCAGAAATGCGATTGAGGAATAAAAACTGTGGTGAATTTAAATAATCAAATATTTTTGTCTTAAAGAGAAGCAGAAGTACATACCTTTCTGGGACAAAGCTGTTACCAGTATTTTCACAGAGTGTGCAAGAGGCTCAGGGAGCTTTATTTCCTTCAGCAGTATTGTCAGGACTTTTGTTGTAGACTGCGTCCCCCTGTACGAGGAGGGGCTTCTTCCCAGGGCGGAGACCTTCCACAAGGCCTAGCTACCACTTGTAGAAGAAGCCTGGAATTTCTTCAGTTCAAAGGTGTTCAAATCGCCTGGAATTTGTCCTTAGCAAATCTTGAGAAGGGGCTTCTCAGTAAATGATGATCTCAAAAAGGGTTTGAGAAAAAGGAACGAGCCTCTAGGAAACAGAAAAAGATGGCTGATCAGCAAAGATACCCACATCCTCTTTTATTTCAGGAGATGTTATCGAATACCTGATACGCAACTATGCCCTGAGAGCGCACGCGCTCTCTTCCTGTGTGTGTAGTACAGGGCTAGATTAACCCTTTAGCTGGCCCTAGGCTGGTCAAGACCCTCCCTCCCCACCCCAGTGCTGCCACCCGCAGGGAGGGGGGCTCGGAGCCGCTGCTAGGAAGCAGCTGCTGTGACAGCGAGCTTGGTGGAGGCGAAGGGAGGTGGACAGGGCCATTCATGCTGCTGCCATGGAGGGAAGGACTGGGCACCCCCACAGCTCACAGCCCTAGGAATGTGCCTATCTTACCTATGCATTAATCTGGCCCTAGTTTAGTATATAACCAGCTAGTGTTTAATTTGTACTAGAATAATAATTGCTCCAAGAGCAGAACATATACTTAGGAGGAGAAAGTGCAGCATGGGTGAGGGGGCTCCAGAGACTGGAATCCAAAATTCCTTATTCCTAACTCTGCCTCAGATGCTGATGTCTTTGGAGCCTTTGGAAAGTCATTTAAACTGTTCATCCCATTTTCCCACTTGTAGGTTAGGGATAGAAATATGTGCCTGATTGGTTCTCAGAGATGGTATGAGTATTTATAGTACACACAGAGGTGAAGTGATGATGGTGCTATGTGGTAAGGGTATGAGGAAAAAGGAAGAATAGTAATGATGGAGGAGGAGTGGGGGTTAAGTGAGGAAAAATGTTACGAGTGCCCTGGGTAGCAGCACTTTGAATCACTACTCCCTGAGGGTGTCATATTAAATGTAATAGTTTGAGTTTTTGTAATAAATACCCATTAGCCAGTTTAAACAAAACGCAAGGTTCATCTTCTTATCTAGGCCATTGCTTGTTTTTGCCTACGTGTTGAATGTCTTGGTTCTGAATTTTATCTTTAGAGGCCTTGCAGCGAACGTGCTGAATGTCTTGGTTTCTGAATTTTCTCTCTAGAGGCCTTTAACAAAGTTAACCTAAAAGTGACCCTTGGGCAAACGCTCCGAGAGATCGAAACTTAGGGGCTTTTGAAAAGGGGTTGGCAAGAGAGGTCACTGCAGTGGTGTGGAAAATTTCCCAAAGAAGACCCAGGAAAGGAATTTGCTGGGGAAAAGATCCGAGCCCAAATTTGGGAGTAGTGACAGGTTTGGGTAGGAGGGGCCCAAGATGGCAACTCACCCAATAAAAACTTTAACCTACAGTCCCAATTTGGAGGTAACCTCACTTGCAGAACACCG